TTGGTGTGGTCTATGCGTATGGTTTACACGTGTTGTTGGTGTGGTCTATGCATGTGGTTGATGTGGTCTATGCGTGTGGTTGATGTGGTCTATGCGTGTGGTTGGTGTGGTATATGAGTGTGGTTGATGTGGTCTATGCGTGTGGTTGGTGTGGTCTATGCGTATGGTTTATACGTGTGGTTGGTGTGGTCTATGCGTGTGGTTGATGTGTGGCTGATGCTGGTCGCTTATATACCTTTTTATCAATTGACAACTGATGCGCTCTCTGGTCATTTGACAACTTGAAACTCTGGATGTTTCAATCTGATCATCTTACTCTGACCATCTCACCCTAAACATCTCACCCTGACCACCTGACCACCTCCCCCTGACCACCTGACCACCTCACCCTGACCACCTGACCACCTCCCCCTGACCACCTCACCCTGACCACCTGACCACCTCACCCTGACCACCTCACCCTGACCACCTGACCACCTCACCCTGACCACCTCACCCTGACCACCTGACCACCTCACCCTGACCACCTGACCACCTCACCCTGACCACCTCACCCTGACCACCTGACCACCTCCCCCTGACCACCTCACCCTGACCACCTGACCACCTCACCCTGACCACCTCACCCTGACCACCTGACCACCTCACCCTGACCACCTCCCCCTGACCACCTGACCACCTCACCCTGACCACCTGACCACCTCACCCTGACCACCTCACCCTGACCACCTGACCACCTCACCCTGACCACCTCCCCCTGACCACCTGACCACCTCACCCTGACCACCTCACCCTGACCACCTGACCACCTCACCCTGACCACCTCACCCTGACCACCTCACCCTGACCACCTCACCCTGACCACCTCACCCTGACCACCTGACCACCTCACCCTGACCACCTCCCCCTGACCACCTGACCACCTCACCCTGACCACCTGACCACCTCACCCTGACCACCTCACCCTGACCACCTGACCACCTCACCCTGACCACCTCCCCCTGACCACCTGACCACCTCACCCTGACCACCTGACCACCTCACCCTGACCACCTGACCACCTCACCCTGACCACCTCACCCTGACCACCTGACCACCTCACCCTGACCACCTGACCACCTCACCCTGACCACCTCCCCCTAACCCTCTACCAATCAATCAATCTGACCACTGGACCGTGAAATCGAATACTTATGATTAGCTCGCCTCACTTCTAATCCTGTCAGCCAATTTCTCGCCTGACTCCGCTATCGATTTGACCAGACAGAACTGTAAGCCAGTGTAGACAACAAACTGCTCTCTCAAGGTCAAGGCTGCTGCTTGACCTGCACTCTTCGATCCTAAGTGGGGTTCAGAAAGTATTGAACTTTACAAAGGGCGGATACCGAATGTGTAGTTTCAGAAGAATTCTACTTCACCTGCCATAGTTACCTTTTGGGATTAAGAGGTTACTTGACATTATGTTTGTTGTTGGGCGGGCTGGGGGAGGGGAGCTGGAGGGGTGGGGGACATAGAACTACAAAAAGCACAAAGATTAATTTTTAAACACAAAAAAATAAATAAAATAAACAACTATTCAAAACACACCCAAAACTATTCAAAACATAAATAACATTTCACAGCATACAAAAAGCAATCCACGGCATAAAACATAAATAACAACTCACAACAGAAAACATTAAAAAAAACTATTTACAATACAACTCACCAAAAAAAACAACGCACAACACAAATCATAAAGCAATTCCCAACAAAAAAGATAACCAACTACTTAACAATGTATGTGGCATAATTTATTTTTAAAAATTTACATTAAGTCTGTACATAATCAGAACATCTAACACATCAGAACGAGATAAGATTCTTGCAATAAAAAATAGGTCTTTGAAAAATCAATAAATCTCTTTAAAAAAACTCGTTATATTGAATTGTGAAAGAAAATTACAAACGATGAAATATACATATGCTTTGATGTAGATTTAGCAAATAAAAAAAGTTTTTTTTTTTTTTTTTTTTTTTTACATTCGATGAATTCATTTTTAATATTGAAAAAAAACCGTCGAATTATTGATGAGAAAATGAGTCGACGAGGTGAAATAATTGAATAAGTGCTGATTAAAAAGTGTAACCGGTGCAGATTGTGACTCGAGTTTCTGAATCACTAATTAACTAATTAGCAGGTGATTCTGTTAAACGGATTTAAAAAACTTAAATGACAATTGGAAAATTTAGGAAAAAAATGTATACAGGGTTAATTTATTTAAGGTGTGGGTGTGTGTAGAATAAATGGAATGCACAAAGTAGTGAACTGGTAATTAAAATTAATGATGATAAAAATGTTGCTATAGTTATATTTTTTGTTTAAAAAATGGTATTTTCTTTGCAAATTTTGCATGCTTTTTTTTAGTTTATTATTATTATTAATTAATCAATTTTGTATACGTCCCAAACATTTTGGTTGTGTACAAATTTGTTGTTTTAGATTTTAAAATGTCCAAAACTCAGTGTTAACACGTCCAGAAATCTGTGTTGTGTTAAAATGTCGAGCCCGTTTAAGTTGAGATAAGACTAAAACGGCCAGGCATTCTGTCAGACACATCGTGGTCACATGATCCCCGCCGCTCTTCTCCAACTAGACGTACTCTTATTCCGTAGAATCTAGTCCTATTCCGTAGCCCTATTCCGTAGCCTATTTCGTAGCCTATTTCATAGCCTATTTCATAGCCCTATTTCTTAGCTCTATTTCATAGCCCTATTTCGTATCCTATTTCGTAGCCCTATTCCGTAGCCTATTCCGTAGCCTATTCCGTAGCCCTATTTCGTAGCCCTCTTTTAGCCTATTCCGTAGCCCTATTCCGTAGCCCTAGTTCGTAGCTCTAATCCGTAGCCCTATTTCGTAGCCCTATTCCGTAGCCCTATTTCATATCCGATTCATTAACCTTATTCTGTATACATACCTAGTTTCCCCCTTACCGTATCCCCAGCTTCATTCTCTCCAATTAAAATAAACAGTCAACTTTTCCCCTGCCTAAGCCCCAACTACAGTCCCTGACCCCCCTCCCCCCCAAACCCCAACTACAGTATCTATACCCTCCCCCTTACCCTAACTACCGTCCCCGACCCCTATACCCTTACTACAGTCCCTGACTCCCTAAACTCCAACCACATTCCTTGACCCCTTAAACCCCAACTACGGTCCCTGACCGTCTTTACTCCAACAAGTTACATTAACCATCGACCCCCCCCCCCCCGCCCACCCCCAAGTCTGCCTCTGCGAAACATCAAAGGTTCCCCCCTCTTTAATTTCTTCGTGTGATAACATTTAATGACCGGACATCTAGGTGAAATTTAAACAACAGACACTATACCCCAACCTTAAGAAAGAAAACCCGCATACGAAGAATTTTAAAAAATAGCACATGATTTTAATATAAAAAACAAACATAAACAAGAATACTTCATCGCACTGGCAATCAAACCACAAAGCAATTATCTTACACTAATCTAATTAACCTTCGTCCACAATTCACCACATCACAACACCTCAGCGCCTATAGAAGAACCGCCTCACAAGATGAAAGAAGTTGATTCAAGACTTGAAGTAGAATATCTTTGATAAAGTGTAGCGTGCACTATCACACAGCGAGATCGGCATTAATTACGCTAACAGTGCGCAACAAATGATTCGTGTTTGTCAAAACATATTTTTTTTATTCCTGAAATAATCGATGTATTCATGTTCGATTGATGCGGTCATTATTTATTTTTCCCATTTTTTTTTTCTTTTAAAGAACGATAACAGTACAACATTTGGGTGGTAAAAAAATAAAATAAAAACACAAGATAACATTATTTTGATTTTGTAGTTGCCAACACCCCCATCCCACTCTTTTTCCCCCCACAACACGAACGATTACTCCAAGAGCTTTGTTATGAGGCGGACGGAAGTGATGAAAAACGCGTTTGCCAAACCGGAAACATGTACACGCCATTAATATTTCCCCCCACGTGGTTTAGTCTAAATACCGACTAATCAATGCAATGTGTTGTGTTTTTTTTCTACCGCTCTGCCCCCCCCCCCCCCCCCCTCAACCAATCACAATCAATTAGAGTAAACATTAAGACCAAACAGGTTTTTTGTTCTTGTTCTATTTTAGGCATAGCATGAACTGACAATGAATAGATTGTATTAGTGTTTGGTTTGGTTGGCCGGCATGGAAGGGGAGATAATGAAGATCATTTGGCGACCTAATCGATAACAGCTTCCACGAGAAATTACGTACATCACTGTACAAATAGGATGGGCACATCAAACAGGCCAATTCGATAGTTTATATTGCGTATATATTTATACATTCATACTAGCAAGCATGCATTATATATATATATATATATATATATATATATATATATATATATATATATATATATATATATATATATATAGATATATATAAATATATATATATATATATATATATATGTATATGTATATATATATATATATATACATATATATGCCCCTATATACATATATATATGTATATGTATATATATATATATACATATACATATATATATGTATATAGGGGCATATATATGTATATATATATATACATATACATATGTACATCATATACGTACATCATTGTACAAATAGGATGGGCACATCAAACAGGCCAATTCGATAGTTTATATTGCGTATATATTTATACATTCATACTAGCAAGCATGCATTATATATATATATATATATACATATATATGCCCCTATATACATATATATATGTATATGTATATATATATATATATATATATATATATACATACATATATATGCCCCTATATATATATATATATATATATATATATATATATATATATATATATATATATATATATATATATATACATATATATATATATATATATATATACATATATATATATATATATATATATATATATATATATATATATATATATATATATATATATATATATATAACTGTCTGTGTGTTACTTTGTGTGGCCTACTGTGTGTATATATGAATGTCTCTACACTAAGAGAAACAATATAAAAAATCTTGATGGCTGTTTCCATAAATTACAAATGTATAAATTTAATTAAAACTGTACAGTTGACAAAAAAACTGTGTTAAAAATTCCAAATATACATATAGAGAGATAGAGAGCTATTCGAAATTGGGAAAATATGTCCATTGCACATTAGAGTTGCACTTTAAAAGGGTGGAATATACATGTTCATGAAACAAAAATATACAAATACGAATAAAGGAAACCTAAACATGAATGTTTCAAAAATAGAATGAATCGTTATTCTTGAGCATGTACGGGGAGAGAACTGGTGCTACGTTGTCTTCATCATAGTAACAAATTCTGAAAGAAATGTAACGTAAAGTGGTTTTAATGGATTATGTAAGACTGACTCGGAGGGGGGGGGGGGGGGGGAATTTGGATTATGTGATGCAATATAAAAATGGCACATATCGTTGTAGCTATGTAGACAAAATGTATTATTACAATTTACGATGCCAAAGTAGATACAGGGACACAATATAGCGTTTGAAAAGACAGAGTAGTTTTAACCTTGCGGGATCCGAACCCACTACTCCACACGGCATAGCTTCGCCCCGTCCACTGTAGTATTAGTAAACAGTGTTTCTTTCAGATTTTTTTTCTCCGGAATGGGGGGGGGGGGGGGGTTGAAAAGGCGGGGTGTTGGAGAGCGACACTTGAATTATAAAAAATTTCCGGGGGGGGGGGGGACACTGGTAAAAGTGGTAAAAGTATATTTTTTCTATATAAATTCTATTTTATTTGGGAGGGGGTTAGTGTTGGGTCGGTAGACATTCTTCAAGGGTGGTGTCTCCCCCTCCCATCCCCCCCCCCCCCCGTAGAGCTGCCTGAAAGAAACACTGCTTGTGAGATTACCGTCACGGTTTAGAAAATGCTTATTACTAGATGTATTCGGACAAAAAAAAATTAAATGAGGGGCAATTTTTGTTTGTTTCATTTTTTTTTTTGGGGGGGGGGGGGGTGGGGGGGGGGGTGTGTGGATTGGGTGAGTTGGGGGGAGGAGTAAAGTGGATTAATACATAGGGTGCGGACATAGTGGCTGCTTAGTACTTTAATTTCTATCAGAACTTTACTGGTTATTGTTCTGTTTATTGTTCTTTAGTTGACAACAACAATCTTGTCAAAACAAAAAACCGGACCGTGTCGGTTCTGTGAGGATCGTGTGCGGGGTTTTTTTTTTAACCGGATCACAACAAACCTTTCCAGACGCGACCAAGCGTGGCCTGACGTGATTCCAGCCTGCCGGAACAAGTCTGGGATTAGTCAGGGAACCCAGGTCACGGGTGGGTGAACACGACGTGAATAGGGGCCGTCTATTTTAATCATGCTGCTTCATACGGGGTGGGGGTAATAGGGGGGGGGTAGTTTCTGTGCGATGGAGGTAAATGGGTCAAAGGTGTATGAGGTAAGTGGTATCAAGACACCGAGGAACTATTTTCTTGTCTCAGGGGTAAGGGTTGTCCGCTTCAGAGGGGGGACGATTCTAGAACAATTGGTGTCTCTTGTGTTTCATTCCTTGTTGGGGGTGGGGGTGGGGGAAGGGAAGAAGGTTGTACCACCTGCTTATCTCATGGTCTTCTGTATATTTTTTTAATAATCCCCTCATTCCCTAATTTCTACAACTTAATCCCTAATCCCACTCATTCCCTTGTATTGTTCCGCCCCTTTACTCCACTCTACTGTACCCAATCAAGTGTATATGTCCGTCATGCCCCATTGAGAATGGGTGTGTGTGTATGCGTGTGTGTATGCGTGTGTGTAAGCGTGTGTGTGTGTGTGTTTACGTTTCACAAAAAGATTGACCCCAGGACTCAAAAATCTGTCTTTTGCTAACACCAATGAATGTCAGGTACTGATTAAAGCTGAGTGAACTCTACCGTCAGAGTGGGGTATTAGATATGTTCAGCTCAGTGGTTCTCACACAGTTCTCGTTGTTTGCGCTTGATCGAGCAGAGCAAACAAAGAGCAGGGACATAGCATTACTTACAAAGACATATAAGAAACGGACAACTCACTACTATATAGTGACAAGTTTAACATTACTCTCCATGTAACTACACAGATGTGATTGAATTGTACAAGGCTTATCCCCACCTACACTTAACTAAAGCAACTTTTACAATCCAACATTTGCTGGAAAGCTGATTTATTAGCCACCCAGCTTTATGTTCCACCCATCATTATAATCCTAATTTCTACTAGATCTAGTATACCACCCATCATTACAATCCTAATTTCTACTAGATCTAGTATACCACGCATCGTTATTATCCTAATTTCTACTAGATCTAGTATACCACCCCTCATTATAATCCTAATTTCTACTCGATCTAGTATACCACCCATCATTATAGTCCTAATTTCTACTACATCTAGTATACCACACATAATTGTAATCCTAATTTCTACTACATTTAGTATACCACCCTCATTATAATCCTAATTTCTACTAGATCTAGTATACCACCCTTCATTATAATCCTAATTTCTACTAGATCTAGTATACCACCCATCATTATAATCCTAATTTCTACTAGATCTAGTGTACCACCCATCGTTATAATCCTAATTTCTACTACATCTAGTATACCACCCATCATTATAATCCTAATTTCTACTCGATCTAGTATACCACCCATCATTATAATCCTAATGTCTACTAGATCTAGTATACCACCCTCATTATAATCCTAATTTCTACTAGATCTAGTATACCACCCATCATTATAGTCCTAATTTCTACTAGATCTTGTATACCACCCATCGTTATAATCCTAATTTCTACTAGATCTAGTATACCACCCATCATTATAATCCTAATTTCTACTAGATCTAGTATAGCACCCATCGTTATAATCCTAAGTTCTACTAGATCTAGTAAAGCACCCATCGTTATAATCCTAATTTCTACTAGATCTAGTATACCACCCCTCATTATAATCCTAATTTCTACTAGATCCAGTATACCACCCTACCATGTTTTCCCCTCAGTACTGTATCTTTTATTTCTCCTATGCTAGTCCATTCCCATTGTTAGTGTATCCCCTCATCAATAGAATGTGTATTTCTCCACAACCATTTTATTTCTTTATCATCAGATTCTTCCAGGCATCTCTTCTGGGGAAAAGTCTACCCCCTGCCCCACGAAATGGAATCTATATAGAAATTTACATACTTTACCAGTGTCCCATTCCCCCCCCCCCCCCCCTCCCCCACGGAAAAACAAGTCCGCCCCCCCCCCCCCCATCTTAAATTTCAAGTGCCTCCCACCCCGGAGAATATAGTCAGAAAGAAACACCGATTATCATTTTAACCCATCAACACTTATACGCATCTACCGCTAGAAATCCACCGTCCTCCACCGCCCTCCACCGTCCTCCACCGCCCTCCACCTACCGTTGAAATCCACCGCCCTCCACCGCCCTCCACCTACCGTTGAAATCCACCGCCCTCCACCGTTATCCACCGTCCTCCACCGCCCTCCACCGCCCTCCACCTACCGTTGAAATCCACCACCCTCCACCTACCGTTGAAATCCACCACCCTCCACCTACCGTTGAAATCCACCTTCCTGTCCCCGTTGACGTCCGCCTCTCTGATCATCTCGTCGAGCTCCTCGTCCGTCACGTTCTCACCCAGGGTCGACATGACCCGCTTCAGTTCTTCTGCTGCGATGTAACCTTTGCCCTCCTTGTCGAACACCCTGTTCAAGGTCAAGGTCGTTAGTTGGCGTTGTGTATCAAGCAGCAGAGGTTACGCTAAGTAACGTTAGTACCGGCAAATACAATACCCTAATCAAGTTTTATAACGGCAAAAACAATACCCTAGGTAAATTTTGTTACGGCAAAAACAATCACCTAAGCAAATTTTGTAACTGCAAAAACGATACCCTAAGCAGCTTGTGTACCGGCAAATACAATACCCTAAGCAAATTTTGTACTGGCAAAAACAATACTCTAAGCAAATTTTGTAACGGCAAAAACAATACTCTAGGCAGCTTTTATAACGGCAAAAAAATACTTTAAGCGTCTTTTATGCATCCTTAATGCTAACTCTAGACTTGTATCTATTCCCAACCCTTGCCTTAAACCAACGTAAGCATCAATAAAAGACAAACTACACAAGAACTAGTATTGCCCTTGTAAACTTATTTACACAAAAGAGGCCCAACATAAAATGTCAGCAGCAATTACCAACTAAAAAGAAACAGCTCGTTTTATTGTTAACTGTAAATACGCGACCACGTGATTATGTTGACCCAATTAGCGCTTTGTAAAAAAAAGTTCTCTGATGATAATTGACGTACTTAAGATCTCGTTTCTAGTTTTACAGTTTTAATGGCGCTTTGATCTAAGTGGTTAGGTTGGAAAATATAGTTCTTTAAAATAGTTCTCTCAAATGAGCTTAATAAAGAACGCAGTAAATAAATTTACTGAAATGTTTCTTAGATGAGCTCAATAAGGAAAACTAAAATTTACTGAAATGTTTCCCAAATGAACTTAATAAACAACACGGTAAACAAATGTACTGAAATGTTTCCCAAAAGAGCTTAATAAAGAACACAGTCAACACATTTACTGAAATGTTTCCCGAATGAGCTGAATAAAGAAAACACAAATTTACTGAAATGTTTCCCTAATGAGCTAATAAAGAACACAGTCAATAATTTACTGAAACATTTCCCAAATGAGCTTAATAAAGAACACAGTCGACAAATGTTGCTCTAATGAGCTTAACAAAGAACACAGTCAACAAAAAATTTACTGAAAGTTTCCCTAATGAGCTTAACAAAGAACACAGTCAACAAAAAATTTACTGAAATGTTTCCCTAATGAGCTTAACAAAGAACACAGTCAACAAAAAATTTACTGAAATGTTTCCCTAATGAGCTTAATAAAGAACACAGTCAACAAAAAATTTACTGAAATGTTTCCTTGATGACTTCGTCTGGGTCAGCCAAGCTCATGACCTTGCCCATCATGTCCATGAACTCTTTGAACTCCACGGTGCCGTTACCTGGGTAATCAAGAAAGGGAAATGACGTCACTGACCTCTACGTGCAACGACATTCACAATAACCATGTGGAAGGGGGCGGGGGAAGAGAGAGGAGGGAAGCGATATTCAGGGAAGCTTTGTGTAAACTTAAAATATTTTGAAATTTCGCTTGCGGGAGAAAGTCAGAAATTGAAGCGAAGGTTGTCGCTGGATGGTGCCAAACAGGGTTGAATGTTCTAACCAGGTCATATGTAGGTCACGGAGTATCCAAGGGTTACAAGAAAAATGTAAAAATTGAATGCTAATGTTTTGTTGACATTTGGATGATCATGTGTTTTCATCTGTTTTTTTTTTAAATATCTGTTTATAGAATTTAAGTTTGTATTGAGTATCTCTTTATAGAATCCAGGTTTGTATTGAGTATCTCTTTATAAAATATAGGTTTGTATAGAGTATCTAAAGGTTTCAGATATAAATCTGTACAAACTAAATGGAAAAACCATATTTTTAAAGGGAGAGAATTATAGGTTTGTCGGAAGGGGGCGGGGGTAGGCTTGGCAGTTAACTTAGAAAGAACTAATATATTTTATAGATATATAAAGATACAGGTGGCACTATATGATGAGATATCTCTATATACAAACACACATATCACACATATCACACACACACACATATATATATATATATATATATATATATATATATATATATATATATATATATATATATAATATTTACTTTTTGTATATATAGATATATTAGTATATGTGTGTTAAACCATAGGAAAAAGTTCCAACCCCGTACCATCAGTGTCAGCCTCTGCTATCATCCTCTCCAAATCCGCCTGTGTGTGCTTATGTCCCAGAGATTGCATGATTATACCAAGTTCGGTGGCAGTTATCTGCCCGTCGCCATCCTTGTCAAAAAGAGCAAATGCCTCTTTGAACGCTGAAACATGAGGGGTGGGGTTGGGGGTAAGTTTAAATTAGCATTTTGAAAGGTTGGAATTTGGAATCTCGTAGTGGGAAAATATAAACTCCTATTACACCACTTTTTGTTCAAGTAAGTTTTTATGTAAAACTCAGTGTGTATATGATAAAACTCTCTTATAACTAAATAATAAAGCGACCCTATAATATTAATTTACAAAGCGTAAATTCTAAAGAAAAAAACATTTTGAACAAACAAAAATATTCAGTACGTCAAGTTACTATCGACGCAGGAATGTTGTCAGAAAACTACGTTGGGAAAATTTTCGAGGTATAAACATGAGTTCCTGTAGAATTAACGTTTGGCTTACAATTTTATTAAACAAAAGCAACTAATTAAGCAGAGCGGACCTGTTTATATGACACCTGTATTGATTATTATCTGAACAAGATCGTTCCATTATCGCATAGAAGATTAGAGGAATATAAGAGCCTATTGATTTGGTGAGATCTAACATTTAGGTAGCGCTGAACGCGGTCAGTGAAATGTAAAGATAGGAACAATACGAATCAGCGGTGGAACTTCTTGTGGTACTCAATGGAGACGTCATAGGGCTTGTGGACGGAGCTAAGGACGTGTTGACGTCATACAGGGCTAAGGACGTGTGGACGTCATACAGTGCTAAGGACGTGTGGACGTCACATGGTGCTAAGGACGTGAGTACGTCACATAGTGCTAAGGACGTGTGGACGTCATACAGAGCTAAGGACGTGTGGACGTCACATGGTGCTAAGGACGTGTGGACGTCACATGGTGCTAAGGACGTGTGGACGTCACATGGTGCTAAGGAAGTGGGGGACGTTACACAATGCTAACGATTTGAGGACGTCACACAGTGCTAAGGACGTGTGGACGTCACATGGTGCTAAGGACGTGTGGACGTCACACAGTGCACAATTTGCGTACCAAGCAAGGGAATTTTTCTTGCCGACCCTACACGTATAACATTATGCAACTTTTTTACCATCCTTTCTAATATTCTTCTCCACATCACCTTTCCAACTACCAGTAATGCATGCACCACACCATTCACAACATCCATCCATGTTTTTTCTGAACTTTTCCGTTTTTATTCCAGTTTTTCTCAATATTTTCACGTCTTTTTACTGACCCTATGCTCTTTTTTGGGCTTTTCTTTTATTTTTTTCTAAATCCTTGTGGATTCCATGATATACTTTGTCTTTATCCTTCTGTATACCATGATATGCCTTGTCTGGAAATACGTGTTAGCGGTTTCCTTAAAGTGTGGCCTGTCCATCCCTACTCTCTTCTCCGAATGTATAGTACCCCTGGGATTTGTCCTGTCCTTTCCCATACTACTATGTTAGCTACTTATCGCATAGTTTAAGGGAATCTTTCTAAAAAGCAATCTTAAATTCAACGAGGGTGTTATATAGCATTGCTCCGTGAAGCCAGCCTACCCTATATTAAGTAACATAAACAATAGTTTAACCAATAATATAACCAATGGTTCAACCAATAGCATAACCACTAGTTCAACCAATAACATAACCACTAGCTCAACCAATAACATAACCAATAACATAACCACTAGTGCAACCAGTAACATAACCACTAGCTCAACCAATAACATAACCTATACTTCAACCAATAACATAACCAATAACATAACCACTAGTGCAACCAGTAACATAACCACTAGTTCAGCCAATAACATAACCAATACTTCAACCAATAACATAACCAATAGTTCAACCAATAACATAACCACTAGCTCAACCAATAACATAACCAATAGTTCAACCAATAGCATAACCAATAGTTCAAACAATAACATAACCTATACTTCAACCAATAACATAACCAATATTTCAACAAATAACATAACCACTAGTTCAGCCAATAACATAACCAATACTTCAACCAATAACATAACCAATAGTTCAACCAATAACATAACCTCTAGTTCAAACAATAACATAACCAATAGTTCAACCAATAGCATAACCAATAGTTCAAACAATAACATAACCTATACTTCAACCAATAACATAACCAATATTTCAACAAATAACATAACCAATAGTTCAACCAATAACATAACCACTAGTTTAACCAATAACATAACTAATAGTTCAACCAATAACATAACCAATAGTTCAACCAATAACATAACCAATAGTTCAACCAATAACATAATCAATACTTCAACCCATAACATAACCAATAGTTCAACCAATAACACAACCAATAGTTCAACCAATAACATAACCACTAGTTCAACCAATAACATAATCAATACTTCAACCCATAACATAACCAATAGTTCAACCAATAACACAACCAATAGTTCAACCAATAACATAACCACTAGTTCAACCAATAACATAACCAATAGTTCAACCAATAACATAACCAATAGTTCAACCAATAACATAACCAATAGTTCAACCAATAACATAACCAATAGTTCAACCAATAACATAACCAATAGATAAGCCACCGTTACCCACTTGGTGCTAATACAGCTTTCATGGAATAAAGCCTCTAATCCACTCACATAATTTAGTTGATTGCATAACACTGGACTATGGTATGGGAAATGAGTTCACTGTCATGCTGGTCTGTCTTTTTAAATAGGATTTAGTTGTGTAGACGATGGCCTACGTTCTATTAAAAAATTGTGAGTAGTGCACGATCTATTAGTGAGATGTGGGTAAGATCTATGACAACGTTTGTCACTGAGAATTACTTAGATCCATGCCTACGTTTTATCATTGACAGTTAATTAGATTCATGCCTACGTTTTATAATGTAGAATGATATAGATCTATACGTTTTATCTTTGGGAGTTGCTTATATCCATGCCTACGTTTCATAATTGAGAGTTGCTTAGATCTATGCCTACCTTTCAACATTTAGAGTTGCATAGATCTATGCCTACGTTTCATAATTGAGAGTTACTTAGATCCATGCCTACGTTTTACCATTGAGAGTATCTGAGAGCCATGCCTACGTTTCATCATTGTGAGTTGCTTAGATCCATTGCTTCGTTTCATAATTGAGGATTGTTTAGATCCATTGCTTCGTTTCATAATTGAGGATTGTTTAGATCCATTGCTTCGTTTCATAATTGAGGATTGTTTAGATCCATTGCTTCGTTTCATAATTGAGGATTGCTTAGATCCATTGCTTCGTTTCATAATTGAGGATTGTTTAGATCCATTGCTTCGTTTCATAATTGAGGATTGCTTAGATCCATTGCTTCGTTTCATAATTGAGGATTGTTTAGATCCATTGCTTCGTTTCATAATTGAGGATTGTTTAGATCCATGCCTACGTTTCATAATTGTGCGTTGCTTAGATCTATACCTACGTTTAATAATTGACAGTTGCGTAGCTCCATGCCCACGTTTCATCATTCAGTGTTGCTTAGCTCCATGCCTACGTTTCATCATTGAGAGTTGCTTAGATCTCAGCAACGATTGAAGTAGATTTCCCCCATTCAACCGGGTAGGTTGAGATCAACTTTCCCAGTTCGCTACTGATCTATTCGCTGGTTACGTGATAATAACCTTGTTCCACTTGAGCGAATGTTCTGACAACCGATTCACGACAATCTAATGCCGGCCTAACAGCGAGGATGGGCTGGTATGAATGGCGTCTATCTGTTGCCATGGTGATCAATGCTTCCGAAAATATCTCAAATTTTTTTTTAAAGCTCTTTATATGTGCATTTTTTAAATCAAACGTTTACCTTATTTTTTATGATGTTCGTTAGTATTTATTTATTTTTTTATATTTTTAAGAAATTTAAATTTGAAATCTAAAAGCTGGACAGAAATATGAAAACTTAGATGGAAATTAAAAAAAAAAATGTTATGCTGAATATTAGACAAGTTTAGTAGTTTGAGGTTGTAATTATGAAAATGCTTATAATTAGTGATGTACGATTAAACATATTTTGTGAAAGTGGACGCTATTTTTCATACAATAAAATATTGATTTTTTTGTTTTTTTTACGTTAAACCTCCATTTGAATGTCTTTTCTCAATCTATAAATGATGTTTTATGGATTATCTGAAGTCGGTTATGTAGTAATCATAGTTTTATATTCCACGACGTAATTCTTTACTCAAGAGTATTTCTTCAACCCACACAGCCATTAACCCTATACATTTTAACCAAATTTCTAATTTCATTCCAGTTACTAACTATGGTACGGCTAACCGAAGAGTGTTTTTATCACAACCAAACTTGTACAGCCTTCATTAGTAGTTCGATACACAAATGGGTCAATACCCAGGCGCTCTCGTGTGTGTAGATACACATTAAATACCCAGTTTTGTGACGTTATCTGCCCCTTTGATCAGGACGTGGCAGAAGTGCTTTATCATGAAGGTGAGGAGGGGGGGGGGGGAGGGGGGGGGGGAGAATGATAATTTAAGTGGTTCAGTGGGTCGAGAGTTCAAGGTTGAAGGTAGACTAGTAAACAAATAAGATCTGAACTAATGAATGATGTCTTTAGAATTAAGCTTCTTAAAATTCAGTAGAGAGATAGATAAATCTTACTTTAAGTAAACAAACAAGATCTTAACTAATGAATGATGTCTTTAGAATTAAGCTTCTTAAAATTCAGTAGAGAGATAAATCTTACTTTAAGAAAACAAACACGATTTTTTAAAACTAATGAATGATGTCTTTAGAATTAAGCTTCTTAAAATTCAGTAGAGTGATAGATAAATCTTACTTTAAGTAAACAAACAAGATCTGAATTAATGAATGAAAACTTTAGAATAAACCTTTAAGTCAATAGAGAGATAGATAAGTCTTATTTTAAGTAAACAAACAAGTTCTTAACTAATGAATGATGTCTTTAGAATTAAGCTTCTCAAAAGCCAGTGGAGGGATCAATGTCTTACTTTAAGTAAACAAACAAGATCTTAATTAATTAATGAATTTAGATATAAGTTTCTAAAAGTCAGTAGAGAGATAGATAAATCTTAAGTAAATATACACGATCATATTTAATGAATGAAATCTTCTGAATTATGTTTCAAGTCACTAGAGAGATCGATAAAACTTACTTTGTATTTGTTCAGCCGAAAACTTGTATTTGCTTGCCTGGGGACAATGATATAAAATCGTTACAAGGTGGGAATGGTACAACAGTGTGGGACACATGTAGGTATAACATTATGGGACACATGTAGGTACAACATTGTGGGACACATGTAGGTACAACATTGTGGGACACATGTAGGTACAACATTGTGGGACACATGTAGGTACAACATTGTGGGACACATGTAGGTACAACATTGTGGGACACATGTAGGTACAACATTGTGGGACACATGTAGGTACAACATTGTGGGACACATGTAGGTACAACATTGTGGGACACATGTAGGTACAACATTGTGGGACACATGTAGGTACAACATTGTGGGACACATGTAGGTACAACATTGTGGGACACATGTAGGTACAACATTGTGGGACACATGTAGGTACAACATTGTGGGACACATGTAGGTACAACATTGTGGGACACATGTAGGTACAACATTGTGGGACTAATGACTTAATAAAATGTAGGTACAACATTGTGGGACACATGTAGGTACAACATTGTGGGACACATGTAGGTACAACATTGTGGGACACATGTAGGTACAACATTGTGGGACACATGTAGGTACAACATTGTGGGACACATGTAGGTACAACATTGTGGGATAATTGTAGGTACAACATTGTGGGACACATGTAGGTACAACATTGTGGGATAATTGTAGGTACAACATTGTGGGACACATGTAGGTACAACATTGTGGGACACATGTAGGTACAACATTGTGGGACACATGTAGGTACAACATTGTGGGACTAATGTAGGTACAACATTGTGGGACACATGTAGGTACAACATTGTGGGATAATTGTAGGTACAACATTGTGGGACTAATGACTTAATAAAATGTAGGTACAACATTGTGGGACTTATGACTTAATAAAATGTAGGTACAACATGGATGACTTCATGAAATAAAATGGTACACTATTATGAGTCAGTTGACTTAATCAAATAGAATAGGTAAAATAATTATGGGATAGGTGACTTAACCAAGCTACACAAATTTCTGTCACTGGTTAAGGTTGAAGGTTTAAGGTCAAGGTAAAACTTAACATGAATTTTAAACTGGTTGAGGGTAACATATATTTTGCGTAACGGTTTAAGTTTAGGTTTAGTTTTTAGAATGTGTTTAGAATAATGATGTATATTAACACCCACGGATACACATCAAAATAAAGACTGTGTTTACTGTCGCTTGACATCTAAGATTATATCCTAATTCGTTTAACCTGGGGAGCGAATTGACTTATCATTAACATAGTTTCCCATGACGTATGGAGCAGATACAGTTTCAGTGACCTCGGCATGCAGGAGGATAGCGTGGTCAGCACGATGTCCAGCCGCCTTACTTTCTTTGAGTCAGGTACTTATCAAAGCTGGGTTGACTCAGACACGTTCTACAGACTCGAGTTCATTGCCTTATGACGCCATTAATTAGTTCAAACGGTCTAATTTTTCAAACACAAAATAATGTTTTATATTACAATTCGTTTCTTTAAATATGACGCCAAATTAATTGGGAAGCAAGTAATTAATTTAAATCGTTTTAATCAATGCCTCGCGACAATTAATATCTAATCACGTTTAACTACCAAACTTCCAATAGAATAAAATTATGTTGCATTTGTATCCTTATCTAATTAATAATTCACAAGGAAAACTTAATTCAATTAAAAATCGAATACATTAGGAATACTTAAGTTAATTAAAAGTCTATTTCCGTCCTATCTTCCACGTATTGATTTAAAAAAAAAAAATTAAAATCAATAAGGTTAACTTAATCGATCACTGATGTTTACAGTTTATGTCCGTGTGTGTTGGAAGCCTGAGGGTACAGTGAGGTCTAAGGACAGACACGGTTGAGTGAGTTTGGGATATAAATAGTTCTTGATTTATTTAGATGTTTGGGATTTTTATGTCGATGTAAATAACATGATGTATGTTGTAGTTAAATCTAACATATTTATTTTATGAAGGGAACAGATCACATATACATTGATTCTGTTGTAGCTACATAGCATATAAAATGTGTCTGATAAGCTACATCCAACAAAAAGATAAATGGTGTCTTAGCCACATAACACTAGGGATATGTTGTGTCTTCCTATCATAGCAGCAACCAAACGCACCTAACACAGAAATATACATTCTCAATCCATATTAATGTAGGCATGTACCTCATTTTAAATGGGAGGAAATTGTATGCAGTTAGATAATTATATTGTTGCTTTTAAAAAAAATAATTAATATTGAATTTTTTGATAATATTAAAATATAAAATCATATTAAAATCTAAAATATTCCGTAAGATAATTAATTTTAAAGATGGCTTTGAATGTATTAAGTTAATTATTTTCTCAATCGCAATACTAATTAGTGGTTTAGTTATTGCGATGACTTGGTGTAGAGGCCGTGTTGAGAGATTTGCTTCCCTTGACTTCAAGTGTAGACGGCCATTTTGGTAGCGTGACGTATATTTAATTACCTGAGTGCCTGGTCAAGTGGAAGTGTACACGAGGAAGATGGAGGGGGGTGGGGTGGGGAGGGGTTAATCCAGTACAGTACCTCAGGCAGTAATCTCAAGAAGTGAGAGGTTCAGTTGGCAGCAATGGTAGATAGTTGTTGCTGTGTGTTTGTCAGTGTGTGTGTGTAGGAATGTTTGTGTGTGTGTTTGAGTGAATACTCGCATATATGAATGAAGGACTGAGACAGTGGGTGAGTGTGCGTGTGTGTGTGTGTGTGCGTTAGAGAGAGAGAGAGAGAGAGTCTATCAGCGTGAATGATTGTTTGTGTGCGTAAAAGAGTATATTATATCTATAACAGATAATGAAAGAGAATTGATATGTATGAATCTTAAGCTAACAGTACAGGAATGAGAAACGTTATTTGTGAATCTGGAGTTATTGTACAGTGACCTTTTAACTCCTAAATTGCATCTTATGCAGGTGTTGCTGACTAAACTATGTGATGGTGGATGTTGATTGGCCCATATTTCAAATGTCGATTAGTCCATATTTTTAATGCTGATGAGCCCATATTTCAAATGTTGATTAACCCATATTTTAAAAGCAGGTCAGCACATATGCTGTTGATTTGCAAAGTGTTAGAAATATTTACTCACATTTTTTTTTCAAAACGTTTTAATTAACGTCACCTGCTAGTTGTATAAATAAAGTCATAAAAATAATTATCTCTGTAACGAAGCAGGAAGAGCAGTGTACAACAAGTTTGTTAATTAGCCTTCATCTTACTGAACCCACCACACGTCTTGAGACATGTCTGCAGCAGTGGTGAAGTTGGAGTTGGAACGTAGTTTAGAAATGAGTAGAACAGGAAGTAGATTTTAGAGCTTTTTGATGATTTGTGTTTTAGATAAGCGTAGGCTTAACTTAGTAAATGTAATGTGGTTTAACTGTGTTTAGTTTGTATGTGTTGTTGTGAGGAATTGTTGAAGATATGTGGTATGGAATGTATGGGTTAGAAATGTATTAGATGACGGTGTTTTTCTAAATGTGCTGTAATGTGAATGGTTTGTTTATGGTTTTAAAGATGTGATGTAGTTGATATGTTTTGTTAGTGATGTTGATGTTGGTGAAAAGATGAATGGTGTTGGATTTGTATTTTAGTGAAGTATTACAAAAGGTATGGAAGTTAGGTGTGTGTGATATAATGTCACATACCTTTAGAGATTTATATAACAGAAAATATGTAATTTAGGTATGTGATATAAAGTCACATACCTTTAGAGATTTATATAACAGAAGATTATGTAATTTAGATATGTGATATAAAGTCACATCAGATTTATGTAACAGAATATAAGTAATTATATGATATAAAGTCACATATCTTTACAGAATTAAATAACAGAATATATGTAATTAAGGTGTGTGATATAATGTCACATATGTTAATATAACATAAGATATGTAATTACTTTAAAGTTGTGAGCTAGAGGGACATATTTTTCTACATTACGTAACAGAATATATGTTATTGAGATATGTAGTATAGGGCGACATATTTTAGATATTTGTTTTTCAAAGGGTATCTAATTTTGTGATGTGTTTTTGAGGTATATGTGTTTCAGCTTCTCAAATCATCAGCCTACCTAAGCTCAGCAGCTTAAACCTTGCAGCACTAACTGCTTTATATTTGAACTACAGTGACTAAAAACATTAAACTTTACCCCATCTCAACCCCCCCCCCCCCTCCCCCCCCCCTCCCCCACACACACCTCTCACCCCCTACCTCCCAATCCCCTCACCCTCTATCCAAATTTCACTTAACTTAAATGTCTCCATAGTACTCATTTATTATTTTCTACGACACAGTCCTCGTGATAATTAATTACACTAATGAACACGTGAAATATAAAAAAAGCAAGACTACTCACCATAATCTGATATAATTACGTCCCTTTACATGTAAAACTCCTTGGTGCAGATTACGTCCCTTTACATGTAAAACTGCTTGGTCCTGATGATTTCCCTTTACATGTAAAATCTTTAGTTGGTCCCGGTGTGAGAAACAAAATCCACAAAAATCCAACAATTATCCTCAAAAAACCAGGCCGAAAATATAAATGCCCGGTTTATCTTGTCTGTGTAGAATACCTTGAACCACGTGACAACCTGCCGTGTGACGTCAGTATATCCCGAGAAGTCAGATAGCAAGATGGCTGACAGGGTTTATTTTCAGCGTGTCAGGCTTTTTAAAACCTGTCGGAAACCTAGGAGAAAGAGAAGGGGGTGGAAGGGGGTATGTTTTAGGGATTATAAGTCTGGAAAATTCTAGAAAATTGACTCGTTAAAATATTTACAATAGCGCGCGAGGTTTGAGTGGCAGACGGGAGCGGAAAGAGTGGTCATGTGACCGTGTTAGGTAATAGCTCGGGGATGGGGAGGTCTTGTTTAGGGGTGGGGTGATGGGGGATGGTTTATTTGGTAAATTATGTGTGATAATGTGTGGTGATGTATGATGTTTTATTTGGTAAATGATGTGTGATGTTTTATTTGGTAGATGATGTGTGATGTTTTATGATGTGTGATGTTTTATTTGGTAGATGATGTGTGATGTTTTATGATGTGTGATGTTTTATTTGGTAGATGACGTGTAATGTTTTATTTGGTAGATAATGTGTGATGTTTTATTTGGTAGATGGTGTGTGATGTTTTATTTGGTAGATAATATGTGATGTTTTATTTGGAAGATGATGTGTGATGTTTTATTTGGTAGATGATGTGTGATGTTTTATTTGGTAGATAATGTGTGATGTTTTATTTGGTAGTTGATGTGTGATGTTTTATTTGGTAGTTGATGTGTGATTTTTATTTGGTAGATGATGTGTGATGTTTTATTTGGTAGATGATGTGATGTTTTATTTGGTAGATAATGTGTGATGTTTTATTTGGTAGATGATGTGTGATGTTTTATTTGGTAGATAATGAGATGTTTTATTTGGTAGATGATATGTGATGATGTGTGATGTGTGATGATGTGATATGATGCCAGATGATGTCAGATGATGTCAGATGATGTCAGAGCATGTGATGTGGTGTGATGTGAGGTGATGTGATGTGAGGTGATGTGATGTGAGGTGATGTGATGTGAGGTGATATGATATGATGCAAGATGACGTCAGATACTGTGAGATCCACGATTATCTAAACGAGGCTTACGACTACATCACAACAAACTATCATGTTCAGTCTTAAGCTCCTGACCTCTTGACCCATAAATTCCTTAACGAGTGTCCTACCCTGGTTCTAACGTCAAAATGCCCTGCTAACCCCTCGACTGTTTTACATGCAGCCACCATTCTAGTCAGTCAGGGTTCTGATCATTAGACGTGACGGATAGGATCACATAACATGACGGCCGTGATCACGTGACGTGGTGGCTTGGATCACGGATACGATAACATAACCTGACGGCTAGAATCACGTAACGTGACGGCTAGGATCACGTGATGTAACGCCTACAATCACATATCGTGATATCTGACAGAAATGACGTAATCCTTTCAAGTGAAAATCCATAATCCGCGATACAAAAACTTACCCCGACATGCTTCAATGCATTAAAAACAGGCGGGGGTCGTTGAATTAAACCCCCGCACTGGACTAAAAATGTGATTTTATTTTTAGGCTACATTATGATGGCATAAAAACAAAGAATACGATACTGTTTTGATCAGTTCATAATTCCACTTGTTGTCTACGTTGTGATAAAGTCTTTGCGATACTGTCTTTACGATACTAGGTTGAGAACATTGTACAATTCCACTTGCCCGATACTGGGGTAACGATACTGTCGTTACAATACTGTCGTTACGATACTTTCGTTACCATACTGTCTATACCATTATGTCGTCACGATACTGTCGTTACAATATCGATGCTATAATATTGTCGTTACAATTATGGTATTACGATACTATCATAACTGTCATTGAGACTCAGACGCTATGATAAAATCGTTACGATACCGGTCATACGATAGTGTAATCACGATACTTTTGCTACGATCCATCTCGCTTTTCTAGTCGTATTTGCCCTCTAACTCTTTAGAAATCATGCAGGTAGTGTGTTTTTCTTTTTTATTAAATGCATACTTTTGTAGACCTTTAGAACGAACTAGATCTATATCAAGTTTCATTTAAATCTAGAAAAAAAAGTTTCGTTTCTACACTACCTACAACCATCGCAAAGTACATTTATACACTGTTGGTTTGTAAATAAATGTCACCAAACAAAAAAAAAAGTTTATTCGCCTATGGCATGTTTAAAAATATCCCAGTAATCTGATGTTAGATGACCCGAATTTAATTTATAACAATAATATCCCTGTAAACTGGTCTTTTTTACAAGCTTTTATTTAACTATGTCTGTCCTCAGTCTGTATGTTGTCATAGATCGAAAAGTCCGAGCGAAATTTTGGGCACTTCTGACTGATAGATTTGTTTCAAAGTTGGCACGTGGGTTAAGGCATTAAGACAATACAATCTGACATTAAATGTGACTTAATTGGATGCCTAATTTTATGAATTAATTAAAATTGTGTCCAAATTAGTAGGCTGTCTTATCCAACTATTAAGCGCTATTACTATTACGAGCCGACCCGCGGCGTATCATACGCCGCTATTTAGTTGTTTAATTTTCTACTTTAAAGTAATTCATAACTTGTGAATTCGACAGTACCAATGCTGCCAATGAAAATATTTGCTTTAAAACACTATCAGTAGGACGATACCCCCCCCCCACCCTCCTTTCCCCCAACCCCTATCCTACACCTCTCCCCACCCCCGTGAAAGCAGCCTCCTCTTAGTTACCTCCCCTAAGTTTAAAATAGTTTCAAACTAAATTATCTGCCCCTAATAGGCGTCACTAAACCCGGCTGTAAGATTGTAAACATTTAGCGTGAACCACAGCTCACCAGACCATGTAGGGGTATATGCTTAGAGAGGAAGAGAGGGGGCTGCTAGGCGAGCTTACAGCTTGTTTTCTAACGTCTCCAAGAAGAGAATTATATATATACGAGCCGACCCGCGGCCTATCATACGCCGCTATAATTTGTGAATTCGACAGTACCACTGCTGTCACTGAAAATATTTGCTTTAAAACACTATCAGTAAGTCGTTAAGGACGATAACCCCCCCCCCTTCCTTTCCCCCAACCCCTAACCCCCCCCCCCCCCCAATGAAAGCAGCCTCCTCTTAGCTACCTCCCCTAAGTTTAAAATCGTTTCAAACTAAATTATCTGCCCCTAATAGCCGTCACTAAACCCGGCTCTACGATTGTAAACATTTAGCGTGAACCACAGCTCACCAAATTTCCTAGAGAGGAAGAGATGGGACTGCAAGACGCGCTTACTGCTTGTTTTCTAACGTCTCCAAGAAGAGAATTATATATATATATATATATAAATACGCGCGTTATCATGTACGTTAGGTGCGCGATGGTTTTTAGTCATGCAACTCTATTATAAATTTTTAAAACTTTAAGTACTGAAAAAAAGTTCATTAAAAACATTTTAATAACACGCTTTTATGTAATAATGCACTAAATAGTAGCAAATAAATGATTTTCTTTAAATATATAGAAATACACTACTATATAAATAACTATAAAGTTATTTATAGTTTATAGTTATTCTGAATTTAGTCCGGTATATAATATCTCAGTAAATTTATATTTTTTTACCTGAATAAAATCTGTTTTTTAATACATACACAACACTATCCCAGTAAACTGATAATTATTTTTTTTACCTAAATCTACTCTGTGATAAAATATTCAAGTTAAGTTGAATATGTTTACTAAAAATGAATCTGGTATGAATTTCCCCAGTAAACTGATAAGTTAATCAGAATTAAATTTATTACATAATATCCAAGTAAACTGCTATATAATATCGCAGTAACCGTGGTATTTGTTTACTAGAATTAAGTCGGTGAATTTAGTCTGTAGTTGCCGTTCTTGCATCACCCTTAATCCTACAGAATGGGGATATGAATCATGTAAAGATAAGTGGGTAAATGAGGGGGTGGCGTGGGGGTGGGGAGGGGAGGGGGGGGCAGGTAAACAAGAAAGTGGCCAGGTAAACGGTCTAAAAATTCCTTCCAGACTGGGAGATTAAATTTTTTTTTGTTACAGTACTTCCTGATACCAGATGTTTTACGTCGTCTACCCGTTTAACGCTGTAACCCACTCGTTTAGCGCTGTTGTCTGCTCTCTTTGCGCGTTATCGCCATTTAGCGCTGTCTGTATGGGTATAGCGTTATGCATACTGTACGGGGCAGCGTTCATGTGTAATGTCGACCTTCTTTAGGGTGTAGTCTGCTCAATTAACGTTGAGAATATTTGAGTAATTAAAGCTTTATGTCTCCCTATCTCTCTATTCCTCCTTCTCTATCGCTCTCTTTGTCCCTCTTTCTCGATATATATATATATATATATATATATATATATATATATATATATATATATATATATATATATATATACATTTATATAAGTGTGTGTATGTATATATATTTATATGTATGTGTATGTGTGTGTATGTATATATATGTATGTGTATATATATATATATATATATATATATATATATATATATAAGAGATAAACACGTTAAATGCATTCATCTATACAAAACTTAATATACACTCACATACAAATACACGCACACGAATACGCGGACACACACCCACCCACCCACACACACACACACACACACACACACACACACACATATATATATATATATGTATATGTATATATATATATATATATATATATATATATATATATATATATATATATATATATATATATATATATATATATATATATATATATATACTTAGCATAAAGGGCTTGATAAATTGTTTAAATATGTTTGGGATTAAAGCTGTCTGTACATGTTGATTAACGCTAAAAATGTACATAATTATAGTAATATTTAACCAAATTAAAGACGCAAGTAGTCAATGTAACACACATCCACGCAGAAAATTTAAAAAAAAAAAAAAACTTTAAAAGATCAAACGTACTTACTGATTTAGTATTCCAGCAATTAAAGCAAGAAAAATTAAAGTTCCATCGTAACTAGTCAGCACGTCTAAAGAAATCAAGACTGCGAATTCCCTCCGCCTAGACCGTAAAAACAGGTGTAGCCTCAAGAATCCAAAGTTTTATAGACCACCTCAAGAATCAAAAGTCTGTAGACCACGGTATGTCGTACACCGGAGCTGAGCTTAAGCGTAGCCTGCCGTGAAGTATTTTCTGATCGACTATTTTCATTAACACCGCCCCACTCAGGTGGATTCTCTCCCTTGCTACATGTACGTCATTGCTCAGGGGAGGCAAGAAAACTCTTTATCGAAATTTACCTTTTCATATTTGAAAAAAAAAATGCTAGAGAATACGTAAACCAAAAATAGAAAACGAGTAAATCGTGTTATTTTTTTTATCTTTTTTTCTTTATTATTCTAAAGTTATCACATCTTAAATACAACATGAGAAGAATATCGGAGAGAGAAAAATGAAAAAAATTCGGAAAGGTAAGAGTTACCGGAACTCGTAACACAAAACGGCCTATTTCTCTTGTAATAACAATCAATTGGCATTCGATCGATTGTTTGGGTAGGGGAATGTACGGCAGCTCTGATTGATGGGCTCGTTATGGAATTTGATGGTCATTCCGTGAGAAATATAATTCTAAAATTATCGGAATCAGATTTAATTAGTTTTAGCTTGAACTTGACTATATGATTAGATTAGGCTAATAAACAGGTTATAATTCTAGAAAGTATTAATGCATAAAAGAAAGTTATTTGGTGTGAGACAAGACTATAAAATTGCGGGGTTTGACGATGGTCATTCATCTCTTCTCTTTCTTCTTCTTCGTTCTTAATTTAGTATATTATGGAGGATTTAAACAACAAGCCCAATCACTCATCGATTAATAAAAGTTTAGGGACCTTTTGTTGTTGGCCAAAGTAATCAGTACCTTCAACTGATGGTAAAATTTACAAATCTGTACATTTGTACACACATCTGTCTTCTACTAATGTACCTCGTAGCTTTTTATCTCACACAACTGAACAAATCTGTTAACTTTGTGTAAATCTATTTTATTTGTGTAAATATATTTTGATTTGTGTAAATATATTTTATTTGTGTAAATCTATTTGATTTGTGTAAATCTATTTTGATTTGTGTAAATCTATTTTATTTGTGTAAATCTTTTTGATTTGTGTAAATCTATTTGATTTGTGTAAATCTATTTAATTTGTGTAAATCTATTTACTTTGTGCACATCTATTTCTCTGTTCAAATCTACTTCTTTGTACAAATCTAACATATACAATTCTACAATATACAAACATATAATTTACAAATATACTATTGACACATTTATCATTAACAAATTTATCATTTACAGATATACAATAGAAAAATCTAACATTCACAAATGTACAATTTACAGATTCACAATTAAGCAATCTATCATTCACAAATCTACCTTTTTTTGGTCCATTGTACAAAACTACCATATACAATTTTACCATTAATAGATCTACAATAATACAATTTTACCGTTTACAGATCTACAAAAAACAAATCTATCATTCACGCATCTACCATCTACAATTCTACGTTCTAAAATACATGTACAACCTTTTTCTACCTCTAGAACCGGCACGTGAGAATCACAACTCACGAATGTGCATGATATCACGTGCAAACTATATTTTTCCCTGAGTTTTCAAATTGTTTTTTTTTAACCTGACTCACGTTGTTGAAAGATTTATGTCGCTGTTTTAATGTCTGGTTAAAAATGACGTTGAAAGTTTAGGAAAAGATACCCGTTTAACTTCAGTGTATTTCAGTTAATAAAATATTTTTTTGGGGCAGGTAAGTTAAACTAAGCTGGTACATTTTATTTCTGATCAGCGATGAGAGGATAAAGTGGTTGAATAAAATGAATGTTTTTTGTAATATTGAAGATATATAGATATAGCAAGCAGGTAGTATCGATGCTATGATTAAGTAAGTAAGTATCGATATGATTTACTCCGAATAAATGCTATTATTTAAAGAGTATCGATGCTATGATTTATCAGTATCGATGCTTTGATGTATCGATAATATGGTTTTGTGATTATCGATATAGTTTATTCGGTTTAAGTGCTATGATTGAGGAACGGCATGGCCGGCCGATAGTTGTTACGACAGCCAACCTGTAAGTGTCGAGTTCGAATCCAGGTTGCGGTCAATAAGATCGTCCGTGATTCTGCTCATATTCGATGGGTACCTGACTCACGTTAGGAAAACATAGTTTTTACATCATGTGTACATATATCTCAACACATCAACGTGTTGCATGAAATAAAATCTGTTATGTCGCCGTGTGAAAAAAAAGTTAACCATTAGTTTAAAAAAAAAACCATTTAAAATGTAACTAAAGAATTGAGTTAAAATTTGAAATCTATGGGGAGTTAACTCGGATGACATTTCGATCTTTTCTCAACTGATCTCCCTTCAGACTTGGAGAAACGATTTTCTTTAAAATGTTATATAAAATTTCATCGATTTTCCTTCAAATGTAAGATTAAATCCCCGATATGTGAAAAGGTGTGGAGGTTGATGGGCGAAGTTTTAATCTTTTTATCGACCTGCTGTCGAGGGTACTAAATCTTTCAGGTCGTGTCGTCCTTAGCTCATTAAGAGGACAAGTTTAGGACATTTGAGGACTTGATAAGAGGGTGAATTAATTAACCTTTGCGGATTGGTCGGGGCTGTTGGTCAATAAGATAAGTGCGGATGTACTTGATGGTTATGAGATCAGTAGGGTAGCTGGACAATGGTGGGGAACTGATGGGGGGATTGGTGGGGAACAGGTGGGGAATTGGTGGGGAATTAGTGGGGAATGGGTGGGGAATTGGTGGGGAACTGGTGGGGAACTAATGGGGAACTAATTAGGAACTGGTGGGGAATTGGTGGGCACCTGGTGGGGAATTGGAAGGGAACTGGTGGGGAATAGGTGGGGAATTCGTGGGGAATTGGTGGGGAACTAATGGGGAACTAATTAGGAACTGGTGGGGAATTGGTGGGGAACTAATGGGGAACTAATGAGGAACTGGTGGGGAATTGGTGGGCACCTGGTGGGGAATTGGAAACAAACTGGTGGGGAATAGGTGGGTAATTCGTGGGGAATTGGTGGGGAACTAATGGGGAACTGATGAGGAACTGGTGGGGAATTGGTGGGCACCTGGTGGGGAATTGGAAACGAACTGGTGAGGAATAACTGGGGAATTCGTGGGGAATTGGAATGGAACTGGCGGGGGATTGGTGGAGAACTGGTGAGGAACTGGGGGAACTGATAGGGCATTGTGTGGGCAGTTGTTGGGGAAATGGTGAACAAATGGAAGAATTGTGTGGGGGGAACTGGTGGGAAAACGGGTTGATCAAGTCTAGATCTATGACGTCAGTTAGTGGATCAAGTTCCTATGTGGGATGTCAGTTTTACCAAAGAAAAATATGACACGATCACACAAATAGAACCGGTACCCTGCTAGGCCACCTTGTGAACATGTCAAGAGATTTCTGCACTGTTCAGACATATCCCAGACACACATGCAGATAGCCGCGTATATCTGGCTGTCAAACAAAAGCTCTGAGACCCAGGGGGACACGCTTCACTGGATCGCCCAACCCTGGTCCGCTACCCTTGAAGAATTACCTGTGCCTTTGTCTATAACCGGTCACGTATACACTGTCACAATTTTCCCATAGCGCTGTACTATATTTAGACTACCTAGTAATACATTGCGAAATCACCGTAGTTTATTTTAGCGGGCTGATATTATATTTAATTTCGGTGTCAAAAAAAGTTTGACATTATTTTAATCAAATGAACCGTTTTTACATCCTAATCAAAGGAATTAACCTAAATCATTGAAATGTTAAATACCTGAGTTCATACTAAAACGTTAACAATTCTCCCACCCCTAACCCACTCCGTATCGGATTAACGTGTGCGCTAAAGAAGCCATAGTCCCATATTGTTTTCCGAATAAGCCGTAGTCATTTATACAAAAGTATAATGCTCCATTTATTTGTTCTTGTGAAAACACTTTAGACCAGGGGTTTCCAAACTTTTCAGTCCGAGGGCCGCATTAACTATCAAATTTCAGTTCGGGGGCCAGTTTCTTCCAGGCTTGTCTTTGATTTTTCTGGGCAAAGTTCCTCAGCCATCACCAACAAATGTATTTTTCCGTGCACAAAAATATCTCCGCGGGCCGGATGAGAGGACATCGCGGGCCGCATCCGGCCCGCGGGCCGTAGTTTGGAGACCCTTGCTTTAGACCATAAACAGTGTTGGTGGCGTATAATAACCTAAGCAAATAGAAGGGCTTGACTTTCTTCAAATAGCTTAAAGCTTTATCTAGCCTTCAGTTCGATTCTGAACCCACAACCCCCCCCCCCCCCCCCATCCCATGTTTCCTTTTTACCATTCCACGGGTTTCATTACATATCCTTGATACTAAGGATGATACAGTTAATCCATAACCTAATCAGAACCTTGGTGCAAAACGCGTCTCTTTTAACAGTCATAATACTAACCTCAACAAAAGACTTAATAAATATTTATAATCTTAAATTTTGTAAAATTTAAAATATTCTTGGCTATTTATGTATGCAAAAGTAAGCGTCCAGTTTTTTTTCGAGAACCATATTTTCTACCGTGTTCCACTCGAATCAATCTTCTTCCGACAGCGTCGGTAATTTAAGTCTCGTCATTAAGATACATGTACCCAGAGATCCACACTAGTAAATCTTTAAGACTTACAAATACGACGTAATGTTGATAGTTAATTGGGATCAGTGTCAACACACATCTGGCTAATCTCTTGATAGGATTATAGGATTAGTCTATACCTAGTTGTGTCAGGCTTGTGTTTTAAATATGTTGGGCTTGTGTTGAAACAATGACGGGCTTATGTTTAGCTCACTCGTGATAATATAATCATTCTACAAGCTAATGAACAAGATGTAGATATTATTCTGTTGCGGGTATTCTAATAAAATACCTTGCTATAAGACACTAGTAATTCAATACAGATTTAACATGTTTTCAAGCTGGCTAAATCGCTTATCTAATCCAACTCGTATTTCGAAAATTTAGTTCGATTGCTGTCTCTAGACTGTTATGTCTTGACTGCTGTCTCTTGACTGCTGTCTCTTGACTGTCGTGTTGACTGTTGTGAATTGAGAAGTCGTGTCACTATATTTCTTTGAGTGGGTGACTCCGCGTTAGTTTCG